TTCATGGTTATCACCGTTGTAATGCGAGATAACTCGTACGCACTTATGGAGAGATAACTCCTGCTCGCCACCCTGCAAGCGGTACCAGATAGCCTCGACCTCTAATTAAGCAAGTCCATACTTGGATTCTTCAACTGTAGAATATTGCAGTCAGTGGCGTATATTCCATATAGGCAAAAAGGCTATAGGCATCATTTTACCCAATTTGTATATATTTATACTGCAGTATGGTTAAAAAAGGGGGACATATTTAAATATTTATACTGCAGTGTGGTTGAAAAAGGGGGAAAATGACCAGAGCACGAGACAATTATTTCGTTTAATGTTAAATGGGAAAAAATGTTCTTAGCAAATTGCATTTTTCTTATTCAACAATGATACAAAAATTCTTTACGGTATATATAAATAGCTGATTTGCAACTAGAATCGATGATATCAGGTTCCGTGGTCACTTTCAGATAAGTTTCAGTTCTTTTTGAAATCTGCATTTCATGCGTGCATGAAATTTAAAATAAAATCGTTACGGAAGTTAATCGATTTTTACCGGCATGCTTATGAATTCGCATGAAAGTAGATCTATGCATTTCTTTGCGAGAAATGGTTTGATTTCTTTTTATATAGGATAAAGGACATTTTTTTAACATTCATTGCAATCTATTCGGAACGATTTTACGGCTGAAAATTTCATCTTGAAATTTATAAATAAATGAAGCGACATTAAGATTTGCAGCGGAATACGTTTTTCAACGTTACATTATGTTCATATCAAAACTTTAACTGCATATATATATCGGTGGATATTTACAAAACCATGTGTGTATGTTAAGTCTTAGAGTTGAAATCGACCTTTAAATTTATAGTTAAAATATTACAACGGTAAATTTGTAAGCGACATAAAAAATTCTTAATTGGTCATGTTTTTGTAGAATGACTGATATATATATATATATATATATATATATATATATATATATATATATATATATATATATATATATATATATATATATATATATATATATATATATATATATCTATCTATCTATCTATCTATCTATCATCTATCTATCTATATTATTTTATTAGGAAAGCCGTAAAACAAAGTATTCAAAAAGGACGTTTCAATATTACATAAGCACTGTGCGTAAAGGGGTGAATTGTACAAGATGCCACAAAGGCACCAATGAACACCTAAAACGTCATCCCAATGGTACATGTATACTCCTACAAGAGCCCGGCTTAACGTCCCTACGCTCCTAACTCAAATTAAAGTATCTCGCCGTGAACCTCTAGCATGCTGGAGTACCCATTGATATAGAAAAGTATGGGAATGCTATCCCACTCTAAATGTAGAGCTAGGGTCAGCTGTTGCAGAGTCTGGGGATGCGGTTGTCTTTGGCGGATATGCCTATCCCTTTTGTGCAATGTATGCTCAAGGTTTAAATCTGGCGATTTAGATAACCAAGACAGAATAGATACTGTGGCTTCGCAAGAATGCACTTGTCAAACGAGCCGTATGTGGCTGCCTGTGTATTGTCAGTTTGAAATACGGCTTTGAAAGATATTTGCACGTAGGACGTCGTCAGAGTTGTGTTTTTCCGTCAAAGTCCTTTGAATGTGAACCAAAATCAGTCTTCAGCCCTGCTTGTATATAATGCCGTTTTCCACTTCATTACCCCCCCCCCCTCCCACAACCAGTCAACGTCCTGGAGGCAGTTTTCTAAAAAAAAAAAAAAAAAATCAATTCGAAGCTTAAGCTTACAGACTCTTTCCTTTGACATTGCAAAAAAAAAAAAAAAAAAAAAAAAAAAAAAAAAGCAACGGACCAGCACCTAAACCAGACTGTTCAGCAGTGTTAATAGGGATATACCTTTGAAGTCGATATTTGCGGTGTTGTGGGGTCCTTTTTAAGATATGCATCATTCAGATGCAGCATTTTAAAATAGGGCCAATTTTCAGAAAAACCAGAATAAGACAAGAGGCCCATGGGCCACGTTGCTCACCTGAGCACTGTGGCTAGGAAAAAAAGCAAAAATTAATCCAGTAGTGAAAAGCTTAAATGCATAAATGGCCCCGACCTACCCCTAAAAGGGGAGGGGGTTATGATTTGAATTACACTAATTTAGAATGCTTACATATTTCTTTGACTTACTGTGGCTTTTTTCCCTAAAAGTTTGAACTTTCATTTTGGCCCCACCCTACCCCTTCCGTATAAATATGACCAATCATGGCTTTGTTGTTCTTGAGAAGAAGATTTTGAAAGAATTTTCCTATATATTCCTATGTAAAACTTTGAGCGCTTATTGTGGCCCCACCCTACCTCCGGGGTCATGATTTGAACAAATTTGAATCTACACTACCTATGGATGCTTCCGTATAAATATAACCAATCATGGCTTTGTTGTTCTTGAGAAGAAGATTTTGAAAGATTTTTCCTATATATTCCTATGTAAAACTTTGAGCGTCCATTGTGGCCCCACCACCCTACGCCCGGGGGTCAAGATTTGAATAAACATGAATCTACACTACCTGAGGATGCTTCCATACAAATATGACCAATCATGGCTTTGTTGTTTTTGAGAAGAAGATTTTGAAAGAATTTTCATATATATTCCTATGTAAAACTTTGATTGTCCATTGTGGCTCCACCCCTACCCCGGGGGTCATGATTTGAACAAATTTGAATCTACACTACCTGAGGATGCTTCCGTATAAATATGACCAATCATGGCTTTGTTGTTCTTGAGAAGAAAATTTTAAAAGATTTTTCCTATATATTCCTATGTAAAACTTTGATCGTCCATTGTGGCCCCACCCTTCCCCCCAGGGGTCATGATTTGAATAAACATGAATCTTCACTACCTGAAGATGCTTCCACATTAGTTTCATCTTTCCCGACCCAGTGGCTCTTGAAAAGAATATTTTTAAAACATGTCACCAATTTTTCACTATTTCTTAATTATCTCCCCTTGAAAAAGAGCATGACCTTTACCTAAGGATGCTTTGTGGCAAGTTTGGTTGAAATTGGCCTGGTGGTTCTGGAGAAGAAGTCGAAGATGTGAAAAGTTTACAGACGGACGGACAGCTAGACAGACAGACGGACTATAGACAAAATGTGATCGGAAAAGCTCACTTGAGCTTTCAGCTCAGATGAGCTAAAAAGTCGGAAACCCCGTGTTTTTTTTTTTTTTTTTTTTTTTTTTTTTTATAGACCTTTTGTACCTGAAGGATGCGGATCAGAAACCAACAGAAAAGTGTTAAAAGGACCAAATTTTAGCATTTTGCAAAATCAGACCTTTTTGACTTTGAGTTTTGTAGAATATGGCTGTCAAGTTAACAATACATGTAGTGTTAAAAATAATGCATTTTACTCAAATAAATCATATCCATCTAAAAAAAAATGTTTAAAAAACTATTTTGTATTATTCAGCGTATTATTCTTAGTATGCATTTTTTAAAAATTATTTTATTTATTATCATATTTTTAAAAGTATAATCTAAAATACAAATTCAATGTCGAGGCAGAGAGAGAGAGAGAGAGAAGAGTAGACTATAACTTTCTGTTCGGATTAATTGTACCTAGAATGCCAGGCAAGCACTTCTTTTGTACCAACCAGAGTAATGGCTAGATATTGTGACGTCATGTGAGCTTGATATTCAGGATCTTCTCCGAATAATTAATGTAATATCAAACATTAATGTTATCTTGGTATTAAGAGAAATCATACATCTTTTTCTACAGTCTGTATGAACGCAGGAAATGTTAAAAAAGACAAGAAAAGCAAGCTATAAAACCTTTTATTGTGAAACAATATCTATAAATTATGAACATCACACCATTCCTGTTTATTTTACCCAAGTAATTGTGACGATAGATAATGAGTGGTTTTGCTTCGTCATTTGTCCGCTCTGTTTTAAAGCCCATCGACCCAAAATATCATATATCCTTGCATTTAATTCACACTATATGTCTTGATCATTTTCCCGTCAATAAAGGCTATTAATAGTTATTGAAGCTCTTGAATTGCACAGTTGGCTCGCTCGTATTTATTCATTAAGTTTAAGAATCAGTTTTTCATTTTAATGAGAAATTATCCATTTTAAATGTCATGCTTTGTGGTTTCGCCTGGGGTGATATAAATTTCATCTCATTTATGAATCACATATCATAAAGAAATCTTTTGTCTCTGAATTTAGAATGGGATGTTATATAAAGTACATGTATAGATTTTAAACAAAAGTTGCTAGACCTTTATATCCCATGCACCACAATTAGCCTAGTTTGAAATTATTAAGTGTTCGGACAAAAAAGACAAAGAAATTCTTATTACAGTCATAATTTTAAGTTTATTCATTAATTAAAAATGAATTATTTAAATAACAATGTATACATTTCTCCTGTTACAAAGTGATAATTAAACTTTATGGCAATGCAACTGCAACATATTGCTGAAACAAAATATAAAACAAGAATCAACTTGCGTTGAGCAGAGTCCAAACTTGTGAAAGATAACAAAGAAATCACACATTTACTGAAGTCAAATGGGCATCTTAACTTTCCACTGTTGCATTATGTATATACATATACACATCATACGTCTACAATTCACGAAACATTGATTAACTTTAAAATGAAAGAAAAGTCAATGATTGATAAGATTATATGCAATTTGTTTTAATTGATCTTGACAAAAACGATATCATGTGATATATATAAGCAAAAATTCGATAATTAAATTTACAATTATCATTAATTTGTATTAAAATTAAAAAAAAATAGACTAATGCAGCTTAGATGGTATTCACCTATAAACAGCATTGTCATCAATAATAAATCAACTCATAAATGAGAAATGGCGTTTGAAACTCTGATTACATGGAATTCTTTTTAAACATGAATATATAGACACGTTATCCTTCATCAATTTTCCACGCCTGAATGGATTCCCGAAGTGAAAATTAATAATAAATAGGAAAACTAAGCCTGCATAGCAGGCAGACGGATTGTCTCTATGCAATATCTTTTATCTACCAAATGCGCCACTTGAAGGCATCGAATGGCTCGAAATATTACTTACTTTATTGTTGGAATTCTTCTCATGAAAAAACATAATGGTAAGTTAACACATTTTGTTTATTTGTGTTCCATTTGCAATGATTTGGTTGTTTTCAAATGAAAATTTTATAAGAAAATTATCCCTGTGAAAGTTATGCATTCATACATTCTTACTTAAGATAGGTTCTTTTTCATACAGGTAGTGTAGATTTAAAATTATACATTGAAATGATCAGGAAATGAACTTAAAAGTAGTCAAAACTACCACAAAGAAAAATTTGTATATATCAAGAAAAATCTTTGAAAACCGTCCCTGCATGCCTAATATTTTTGGGTTACCTGCATGAGTCGCTCAGTTAACCTATTGCTGTTTTCGTCCGTCGTTCTGCGTTGTCCGTGATCCCATTAACTTTGGAACATTTTATGCTTCTTTTAAACAACAGAACCAGTTTAAATCAATTAACATTTTGAGAAATAAAAAAAGTAAAGGGGTACAAATGAATTTCATTGCCCCTGGAAAAGGGTTCTGATGTCAGGTTCGAGGATGGGGATACGAATTGTTCCTTTAAGAAAAGTACATTATAAATATAAAAATGATCTTTATATTATGGACATTCTGCAGGGAAACAAATCTCATGAGTAAAATTTAAGTAGCAGCTAGGTCTCTGCAAAAATTAAAATTCAGACCTCCTTAATCCAGGGTTCAGGTCCCAGCGTGGGGATAGGCTGATCATCACACTGAAACTACTTTTGTTTTTGGATTTCAAGCAAAAAAGCGCTTGATTATAATGATCAGATAGCTCACAAAACAATTTAGAAATTTATCTTCCCCGGTCAGAATTTAGTTCTTAGGCTAAGACTGAGCTTTTATATGTACAACCTAACAGCATTAACCCTACTACTTCCATTAAATCAAAGGATTTCTATTAGGCATAAGGTTTTACATTATTATAATGAGAAGTTAATCCTCTACCAAAATTTTTAAATTGATTTTTCTTAGACCCAGTGTTCGAGCTAAGTTGGTCAAATTTAAAATACGAGGGTAGCTCGGAAAGTTCGTGGACTATGCCAATCTTCCTTATACTATCTTCAAGAAAATTTATTGCATTATCATATATGTATAAATATTTATTCTGTTTAAGTGTAAAGTTTCATTCCATGTGATTTAATAGAATTCATGTTATTTAATTTTAAAATCAACACATTTTGTAAACACAGAGCAAATTCAACAACACTGTTTCGTCAAAAACATACCGACACGAAGTTCTCAAAAATACTATCCCTTTATATTTCACACAGTTTTGCCCAATACCAATGCACTCATCAAAACGTTTCTCTGTCACTTGAAATCTATTTTGCTAACAATTGTTCCAGTAGCATCATTTTGTTTGTCAATGTTACATTTTTTTCACTGCGTAAGTGTACTTTCACAAGATCAGCATCTGTGAATCGCCAAACTCTTAGCATGACGTTACTAACTTTTCAATGTTTTTGATAAGATTTCAACAGATAATTCGTTTTCTCGCAGATCACATCGTCTAAGCAGATTATTCAATCATTCAAATACTGCTTGTACCATGTACACACGACTTTTTCAGAGTTATTCTCTGGAGTTTTCCAGAGTACAACACAAAATTGTATGGTTAACTGCTGCTCCGTGACGTTCTACGACGTCATCTTTTTGCCTTTTTCAATGAGGACTACCTATCTTCTGAAACTGATTTCTTTTCAACGAAGCAAAATATTAAGTCATAATTTGGAATCAAAAACGATGAAACAATTCTTAATGTGTACGTGTAGAATTTTTCCGTTTTTGTGTCATTTTACAGAAGATATGACTTCAGACATTATTTAGTCTCTTGATTGTAAATGACAAAATTTTGACCTGCTCCGTGATCCGATTTCGCATTTTTTAAGTCTAAATAGGTTTGAAATAAACCACGATATTTTAAATTTTAATATACTTCATTTGAATTTACTGTTGAAATATTTCTTCCAAATTTGGGTATAATATGACGTTAAGTAAAAAAGTTATGAGGGTGGTCCACGAACTTTCCGAACAATCCTTGTACATTACATCTTTGATTGTATTTTCTTTTTCCGCATTGCCATCTAGAAAGCAAAATGTGTGTATAGTTTTAATTAGTATCTACCCCTATCTATGATTTTGAATTCATATCGCATACGTGATTGGTCCGGAATTGACACCTATTATCTATGCATTTTTTATATGTGTCGCAAAAGCTCAGTCTTCAGGATGGAGTTAAGTTGATCACTTGTTTTTTTTTTGTTTTGTTTGTTTTTGTTTTTTTTTTTAAATCTAGTGTTGTTCTAACCAGTTAGGAACACGATTTACGTACATGATATTGAACATACATACAGTTCTCACCAAATTGTAAAATCCAGGTCTCATGAAAGCAGAGCTCTAGTTTCAAGTGGGGCTTACTACTTCTTGATTCTTGATTCTTAGGTGGCCGTCCAGGCCCCTTGGACTCGTGTTCAAGAACAAAAATATCTACAGGTATTTACAGGTAAATATCAATGTACATTTGCAATTTAGATTACAACGGTTTATTATATATCTTATCCAACGAAATACAACAGGAACAGGAACAGGAAAGTCTGTGTCTACTTTTTTAAAATTTGAAAAAAAAGTTTTGATCGATAAACATTCAGTCTCTATTAATTACTTTGATTAGATAGCCAAAACTCAGCTAAGGTTTTCTCCTTTCAGAGTAGATCGACAGAGGTTCTTATATTTCTACTTTGGATTACTAGTATTCTTAGTGACTGCAAAGTAAAGTCATCAGCCATGAAAATTTATGGCCGGAAAAATTTGTGGCGACCAAATAAAATCTGTGATCAGAAAGGGGAAAAATATCAAGGCCATAAAAATAAAAACTCGTGTGTTTCAGGAATAAAGAAATGCCTTCAAAATTCGGTCTGTTTTCTCTTGCTAACTGTATGAGTTTTAGTCCAGTCAAATTGTTTCAGCGCAAACAGATCGCAAAAATCCTTGATTTTTTTTTTTTTTAAGAATTAAAAAAAAAACTATTTTAAAGCAATATGAGCTGCAACTTTGATGTCAGAAATTTTTGTTGCAATATTGTAATTAACTATTTCAATGACAGACAAATTAAAAGAACCTTTATAAACTTCTGTTGTTTGTATTTGCGATGAAAGAACTATTCATAAGCTTTGATTGAAGCAAAATTACGTTATTGTCGTCCTGTACAACATTCATTTCTTATATAATACTATACATTCAATTCTACAGAATCCTTTATTCTGAAAAAAAAGGATACTTTTTTTCTGTCCAAGTGATCAAAAAGGTTTAAATTACATACAAATTTATCATAATTACACATTTATATTTTTACAGCAAAATAAAATTCTTAAAAATGCAACTCATATTGCTTTAAATATTCTTTGAAATTAAATGTTATCTAAAATGAATATGAAATTTTACTGTATGGTAATTGTACTTCCAACAGTAAACTTTTTTCATTCATTTCTATCATTTGAAAACTAATAGTTGCCATGCCCATTTTTATTATTATTATTTTTTTTAAATAGGTATATACAAAATAATGCTTTGTAATGCTATGTAATGCCAGCATTACTCTAGATTTGAGAAAATAATGCATTACATTACCATTACTTGTAATGCAAAAATTTTTACATTACACATTACTAGCATTACTTTGAGTTCAAGTAATGCATTGCAATAAATTACCATTACAATTAGCATTATATAAATTGCTAATATTTGATCAGAAAGCTTTAGATCCTAAAGATTGTTGAATTGAATATTATTGTTATAGAAAATAACATTTGAAATAAAGTCACAATTATATTTCAATATCTACTTTATTAGTATGAATCATTATTTTTTAATGAAATAAAATGAATTATGTTAATTTTTGGTTCTATTGCATCAAAGTAGTATTATATAATACACATATATAAAGTGAATTTTTTATATCGTGGCTATGAATATTTATTTTGTGACCACAAACTTATTTCACAGCCACGAATTAATGAACAAAAATGTCATTTTCATACCATGTCATTAGCCAACCACCATATAGTTCCATAAGGAACAATTTTCTTCAGAATTTTAACCCGTAAAGTAATAAAATTTATTTAGAAAAAAAAATAACAATGCATTTTCAAGACATGAATAAAGATGTTTCCTGGTACAAAAAAGATTCCTGGGGATACCCCCCCCCCCCCTAGATTTTTCTGCTGTCATTGTTATTTTTGTTGCATCTCTTACAAAGGATATCTATATATCATGCTCGAACGGGTTTAAAGAAAAGACATTTCACTAAAGGTTAATTATCTTTTAAAATATTGATGTGCTTATAAATGTGTATCGTTTCATAGCCTTTGAGTGCAATGCTTTTAACAGCAGCTGCAATTAATGCTAAAGAGATCCACTTTCTATTTTCGATTGCAAATTTTTCTCAAAGTAAAATTGGTCAAAATTTTGCGTATTTTAATGACGTAATTTAATGTAAGTAAATATTGTTCAACCTAACTTAAAAAAGATAACTTCTCCAAAAAATTCTCGCTCAATTCGACTTTTCATCAAAAGACATGCATTACACGGGTTTCCAGGCAATTAAAGATTTTTACAGTAGTATTATCTACAAAAGACCCATGGGCCACAACGCTCACCTGAGTCACCTTGACCCTGCTGTACATCAGATCAACAAAATATTTTCTACTTCATTCACATGAAAAATGTTGACCCTGTTATGGCTCAACCATAGTACCAAACGATCATAACATATCTAAATCGAATCCCAACATCCCTGGTGTTCTTCAATGTCCATTTTACTATTATGGCCTTGCTGTTCAACATAAATGAACATGTTTGAGGTAAAAATTGTTCTCTGATTTTATCAAAAATCTAACCTTAAAATCCATAATTTGTAAAATCAAACTTGAATCCACGAAACTTGGCGGTATTTAAGGAATGTTTTAAGTTTTCTGTGCGTTTATTGGTGTGTAAATCACACAAACTTTTCACGTAGGCATATTTCATGAAGCACGCTAGGGATACATGAATAATATGCCTACATAATGTACTTACATGCAAGTCTGTGTGATTTACACACCAGTAACTCACACGAAATACTTAAAACCATTCCCTTTGTTTACATTTTACATATTTAAAAGCAACAAGAGACACTCAGTGTTTGAATTTCCCGTTGCTCTTTATCGTTATACTTTTGAAAACAACTCTGTAGTCTCTCTTTGACGTCACTTTAGCGTAAATTTCTCCATGTATATTTCTACCATTGTGGATACACAAAGATAGCATTCAAATAAATTTCATAGTTGATTTAGTAAAAACACAGAAATGGAAATAGCTCCATATGAATGCACTTTGTGACCATGCTATTTTTCAAATAGATTATTTCAAATAAAATCCTTTAATATTTTCTTTTAAAATATTTATTCTCTATTTAGGCTCGACCCTACCCCAAGCGGCCATGGTTTGAACAAACTTTAATCTGCACCGTCTGAGGATTCTGGCATATTAGTACCACTAATCATAGCTCATAGATCTTACAACATTTTAGCTCACCTGTGCTCATCTGATCAAAAAGTGTCCGGCGTCCGTCTGTTGCCTGTAGTCTGAAAGCTTTCCACATTTTCGATTTCCTCTCAAGAACCAATAGACAAATTTCAACCAAACTTGCCACAAAGCATCCTTGAGTAAAGGAAATTTAACTTAAGGAAGCGCTGCGCCCTATTTTTAGGGGAGATATTTAGAATTCGGGAGAATTTGGTGGCATCTTTTAAAAATCTTCTCAAGAACCACTTGGCAAGAAAAAATGAAACTTATGTGAAAGCTTCATTAGATAATCTAGATTCAAGTTTGTTCATATCATAACCCCCGGGTAGATTTAAGTTTGTAACAATCATGACCCCTGGGGGTGATTTGACCACTTAATATCAATTCTCACTTGCTTGCATCTTATTGTCACTAAACATAGCTCTGTTGTTCTTGAGAAGAATATACCAGGTATTGAAACAAATTTACATATATGTTTCCATGTAAAACTTTGATCCCCTGTTGAAGCCCCCCCTCCCCCCCCCCCTCCAGACATTATAATTTGAAAAAAATCTAATTTACACTACGTCTGGAAGCTTTCTCATGATTTTTATCTTTTCTGGCTCAGTGATTCTTAAGAAGAGGATTTTAAAATGACCCTGCCTAATTTTCACTATTTCTTAATTATTATTAAAGAGTGTGGCCTTTCATTTGAACAAACTTGAATCAACTTTACAAAAGGATGCTTTATGGCAAGTTTGGTTCTATTTATCCCAGTGGTACTGGAGAAGAATTGAAAATGTGAAAGTTAACGTCTAAAGCTCACTTTAGCATTTGGCTTAGGTGAACTAAAAAAGCATGAATATCAAACTTGTAGCGCAGTTCAGCAAATAGGACCTGTTTGACAACCATCTACATTTAATCCTATTCATACATGAACGTCCATGTAAATCTTTTTTAAACGGTGCATGTGATCCTTATGCTCATGTCTCCTTTTGAACCATGTGTGGGCCCAAAGCTGTCAAGGTTACCATGTACGTTCTCTTTTCTGCCTGAGATTTTTCAAGATCACCACAACGGCGAAAGATTGAAATTCGAAATCACGACCCTCCGATCATGGAGCGAACACTCTACCGACTGAGCTACCGTGACGGTCAACGGCGAAAGAGAAGGAAAAGCTCGCATGCCAAGTATTTTTTTTTTTTAGCAGATACAGCTATAAACTAAGTTAGGGAATACATAGCTACATGTACATCATATACTTTTAGATTTTATTTTTATATAAAATAATTTATTAAGTTTTTATTAAAAATCCCATTGGTGTTATTCTGGTGGCTTATATTCTAGCAATTCAAATGAGGGGAATTTTTTTTAATGTTAAGAATTATAGTAAAAATAACGATGAACTGAAAAATGTTATTTCTTTTACAGAAGAAATACTTCTACTTATTTCTTTGAAAGCTTATCACAATAACGCTTTTTGAGTTTGAATACTTATTGGTAGACCACCTTAGTCGGTCATATCTGTTCTGCCACCTGGTTCTACAGTCATGGTCTTCGTAAAAAAAATTAAACATATTACCATCTTCTTAAAAATAGCTAAACCAGCTGCAATTTAAGCTCACTTTGGCACATATCACCTTCAGACAAGAAAACTTGATGTTGCTATAATTGTCGCCCAGGAAACATACCATTTTAACTGTTCTGGTCTTTTATAGGGATACGTATTTTAAAAATGAATGAAAAAATGTAGATGACATTACAATATTATTAAAACATATACAAGTGCATCATATTTGATTTAACATGAAATGCAGATATGGGAACTTTTAGTATTTACATATTTACATGTTTACTACTATATGAAATTACAATAATTATGTACTTGATATTTGTGCCAAAATCTACCGTGACACAGGACCACGGTTTTTTAAGGTATCATCCGAAAATCGACCCATGACTTTTACTTCTAATGCCGGGCGCTTGGCGAAGGAATATGTTAACGTCTTAGGTTTGACGCGGAGCGGCGAACGAGAGTCGAACCCGGACCTCCCGATCGCGATGTGAACGCACTACCACTAGGCTACCATGACCGGTAACCAAAGTCAAAGACATGACGGAAAAATATATCTTTCAGACTAGCAGATATTTTACCAGACCGTCAGAAGAATGTTAGTGGATATTAAAATTCTACTTTTTTACTTGGATTCGTGTTTTTCATTGTAAGGGAACATTAATGATATCAGCCCAATAGCGATATGAAACCACTATCCACAAGTGGCATATATCGACAGCAAAAGATGGCGTTTGCATTCTTCAATTCCGTTTACCTGAATGGAACCGTTTTGTGTTTTAATTTAAATTCATAAATTTGAAATCCACAAGCGACTTTTAATTTCTTCCTAATTACACAATTAAGTAAATGGTTTGCGGCTAGAAATATTCGTGTGTAAAAGCAGGTAGCGAAACTCCCAATTATTTCTCAAAGGCAATTAAAAATTGATTTACAATATTATTTTTAATGTAATGGTCATGCATTGGAATGCAGTACTGGTCGAAGTAATGCTAGTAATGTGTACTGCCATAAAATTTGCATTACATGAAATGGTTATGTAATGCATTGCTTTCTCAAATCCAGAGAAATGCTGGCATTACATAGCATTACAGAGCATTATTTTGTATGTACTTATTTTTAAAAAAATGAAAATGGATATGGAATTTTTTTAAATAATGGAAATGAATGAAATAAGGTAACCTATTTTAATAAACTCTCTATATCTATTTAAATACGTTTTTATTCTCCTGAAAGAACAATTACCATACATTTAAATTTTCATACTTAATTTAGGTAAGATTTAATTTCAAAGAATATTTTAAAGAGTTTATTTTGAAAATAAATACCCTTTGAAAATAACTACGGTATAAGGCACACTAATTAATGTACACTGTAAACGGTTAATTGACATCTTTTGAATAGAGTGTCATCAAAACACACAATGCCACTAAGAATATGTAACAATCAAAACAATGTATTGTTTTGAGAAGTACTCCAAAAACCAACCCCTTTTTTCTGACTGTGTTTATGAAATATTAATTGAGCTGGTCTAGCTTGAGCTGACCATGCATATGACAAATCAATTGCACCAAAAGTAATAGAAGACAGCATTCTACTTTTAGAAGAGCAAACTGTACATACTGTTCAATCCTTTTTTACAAGTTTGTCAATGCATTTAATTTTTCTCATAATTTAAGGTAGTTGATCCAAATAATCTTTATATGTCCTTGTTTGTTGTAAATACTTAAAAAAAACACTCAACGTCCAATCAAATCTTGATTTTGAGTAAAAAACAGAATAATTAATGAGTGCTTAATAATGCTTCCAAACCAGTATTGATTTTATTATGAACGTTCCTGTAAAATGAAATCAAAATCAAATGAGAATAACATATAAAAATATATTTTAAACAAGGAAGTCTTAATACAGATTTTAAGATTTTTTAAAATGATAAATTGAGTTGTCATTGTTTTACATTTATACTGTACAAAATATGAACATTAGATAAATAATTGTTTATATATTCAATACCAGGTCAGCTCTGTAATTTGGGAATGCATCATCGACGAGATACATCCCTATCATCAATATATGTGTATTATGATCTACCCGGGGTTCCCCATCTTACAGCAGAGAAAGCCTTGGATGGGAAGTATTACAATCACCCACATGAATGTGCCGGATCAGATGTACGACAAGTGATCAGCGAGGCTTGGTGGCAAGTGACCTTCAAGTCGACCGCGAATATCTTTAAAATTAACCTGGTCTTTCGAGAATTGTGTAAGTGCAAACATTTACATACTTATTTGAAACATTGTGCTCATCTTTAATTAAAAACACTATTAAATTTTTTTAAAAATATATTATTTAAGTTGAAAGAATATTTCTACAGGAATCGTATTCTAAGAATCTTACGATTTTAATACTAAAGTTTCTTACTAATGACAAAGCGTAGAATATCATTTAATGGGAGCTCACTAAATTACAACTATTTATAATTTCAAGAACAATAAAGAACATTATGCTCTCTTGGGAATAAATTATTGTGCTGCTATATCAAATAATGTTACTTACCATATATACCATATATCAACGAATGGGTACCATCTATCCTTATGTCTTAAGTTATTTATAGGTGACAAAAGAATTCGATAAACTACATGTAAAACTGTACTGGGCACAGCTGATAAATCATGCAACAACAAAGTCTTTATTTGTAAGGCTGATTATTACAATTGTATTTTAGAGGAACTTGGTTTTAATTCTAGCAGTGGTAGTCCAACTAGTACTCGTACTTCCCATTCAAAGGAGGAGATTAATTCTTCAAAATCATACGCCAGTATTTAAATATTTTCAATATCTTCAGCAACAAAATTGAATTTGTAAATTATCTTACCTGGATTCCAAAACTTTATAAAAATCCTTACAAACAAAGATGCAAAGCTTGACTAGTGAATGTTCTACCAAGCCCCTTTAGTCGCCATCATGGCGAAGTGGTTAGAGCGTCTGTTCTAGTGTCGCGGAGTAAGGAGATGATCCTTACGTCGCGGGTTCGAATCCACTCCTGGAAGTGGAGACCGGTTCTTCGGATAAGACCGTAAAAAACTCAGGTCCCGTGTTGCAGTAGTTGTTGTCACGAAAAAGATCCCTCACTGCTCAATGGCCCTGAGTGCCGAGTATACGTATAAATTTGCAGCCCTCCACCAGCAAGTCGGGGCGTCTCCATATGAGTGAAAACTTCTCGAGACGGACGTTAAACAACAAACAAATAAACAAACCAAGCCCCTTTCTTTACTCCTGACTAAAATAATAACAGTAGTAGAAACTTCAGCAGTACTATGAAACAACAGTTTCTAGAAGTGGGATAAATCAAATACTGTAAATGTATTATAATTTAGTGTGTACGATATTTAGCAGATATTGATTTTTGAGCAAGTTAGCGTGGATTTGATTTAGCGCATTTCTTAATGTTCTTATTATGTGTATATATGTGCGACATTTAGTTGTACTTGAATTAGCCCCTTCACGTTAACTGCGGTACTACTCTTTTGCTGGGCAAAATAATTACGTTTGGCGAAGTTTTTGTTGAGAGATAATTAAATGACGTATATATAACAGTCAATTTTACGTCATTTTTCACCAAACCATATCATTTTGCCCTGCAAAAGAGCAGTACCGCAGTTACCGTGAAACGGTTTATTAGCGGACATTGCTTTCCACCAAAGGCACTAAAAAGAATACACAGCCAAATGTAATACGTTTACAGTATGTATACTAAAAAAACTCCAGAGAACTTTGAGAAAATTTCAAATCCCAATATTTCGCTAGATCTTTAGCATCAAAACATATGACTTTACAAAAACTGACAAATGCTTCTTCAATAAAAACAGAACTCACTTCGTTAAAAATCATTCGGCTTCTACAAACAAGTACTCTTTAGTTGATATTAAAAAGGCGTTCAGTTTCTCATTGACATTATCTATGTAGTCTTTAGAGACAAGACCATCCAAAATCTGTTAGAAATCGTATCATATTCTGACTGTGTCCTTTCTTATACAAGCAAACATGTTCTTGTATTCTTATAAAGCATAGAATAGTATTTAAATAGAGCATATAATAGTATTAAAAACTTTTACATGAAAAGAAGAAGTCGCATAGAATAGTATTCAAATAGAGCATATAATAGTATTAAAAACTTTTACATGAAAAGAAGAAGTCTATTGGCCTTCTACTATTCTACATATAGAGATATCGATGAAGGTTTATTAGTTAATAATATTCAAACTTTTTTATACGTAAAGATGATATATTAAGAAGAACTCGAACAGAGTCTGCCCCATCTGTTTCATATTTATACTTGGATGATTTTACTGGAGAAATATATTGGTGGCAAGCTTACACCTTAAATTGATAAACATAACAGTTACTTTAACTTTTCTATTGTAAACTTCCTTTATTTGTGTAGCAATATACCATTATCACCTGTATGTGGTGTTTTTGTCTCTCGTTATCTTGATATTTCACCCTTTCTCATATCACACCCTGCCTCAGCCATAGACACCAATATTAGCAAGAGTCTATACGGGTACGTATTATAACATTTATTACAAATTCAGTAATAACATTCAGAGTAAATGATCTACGTGAACAAATGCAATTAAATAATCACCGAATATTTTATCAAGAAGTAATTCAAAACTAGCTGATGTTAAAAGACAGCACATACGTATTCCCACAAAATGTACTCTCCTTCGAACCAGAAGAAACTGCAATAGTTTTTCGATAATCTACAGGTATGCATATGGTCCATGGGCCTCTTCAATTAGTATTTTATATAATAAATGCATTACCAGTCTGAAGTTGAAGAAATTAATGCAGTATGAATTGTATTTGAGAAAGAGTTTTGAAAAGGAGGTTACATAAAGGAAAAATTTTGAAATTTTCAACTGCCAAATGGACTCCAGGATGAAAATGGAAATTCAGAACTTTATTCCACATCTACAGGACAACACTAAGCTTTTTTCAAAGATGATTTGGCTCCCAAGTAAATGGCAAAAAGAAGTTCAAGGTTTTTAGAAAAAGGTTATTCTACACTAAAACGGCCTCCACGATGAAAATTCAGAAACCCTATTGCACATTTAAAAGGCATCATCTCATTCCAAAAGATGATTAGGCTACAGCATAAAGAATTTCTGGGAATAAAATTTTCGCAGGAAAAAGCCATTGTTTTTCAATCCCAAATGGGCCCCAGGGCGAATTTAAATTCCCAAACCTTAATAAACATTCATATACCAAAAGATGAATTGGTTCATGCAAAAAATAAAGGTGGAGATTTGGGAACCAGATTTTTGAAACAAAAAGTCATTTTTGACCGTCAGTTTGCCCCTAGAGTGGATATGAAAAATTTAAAGCATTTTTCACATTTGCAGAACACCAATAATCATATTCAAAAAGATTAATCGGCTATTGCTTACAATATAAGTGGATTTTGAGAAAAAAAGATAGTGTGACGGATGGACTGACGAGGAAAACACTATAACAACAATATATCCAACCTTTTTTTAGAAAGTGCTGGAATAATTAATTACAATACAATGATTACATAAAAATAAACAAATAATAGATGTGTTGTTGCAGTTACAGTTTCTTTTATTAAGTTTAAATCCGCATGGGTGTGATATCAATATCATCCCTGCAGACGGATAATCACGTCAGAATCAGTGTAGGAAACTAATAGGCTACTGTTAAGTAACTGTTTTGCACATGTAAAAAACATGCATTTATAATAAGTATATATAAATATATATTTCTATTTATTAATATAATGTTATCTTACTTTCAGTTATTCGACATGCTGGCTATTACGTATTTATAACAAATCGGACATTGACGTATAGTGAACTGACCTCTTTTGACCCCGTGTACCACGACGAAGAACCTAGCCCAAGCCAACAAATGACAATCATTTTCCCTGAGGGTCACGCTGGTGTACAGGTGTTTCTTTATGTCAACAAATCAAATCCATCAACCACAAACTATGCTGTAATTGAGCCGTGTGAGGTGGAAATATATGGTGATTGTCATGATTTCATGAGATTGTCTTAAATTAATCGTCACTAAAGCCCCGTTCAATGGATGTAATTTCATTGATATACATGTGTTCCCTGGAACCGTCGTCAGGTGTCTGGAAAGGTTACTTTTGCCTAGGATTTGTCAATAATATAAACCATGAAATACTTTTGTAGGTGATGATTTATTTTAAACAGAATTTTACTCATAAAAGTTAAGTTAAATAGCGAGTGCAGCGAGCTCTATGGAGTAACATGTTAAACAGAGGATATTCGAAGTGAAACCTTTAAATTTTTTAGTAAAACTATTGCTACTACCATTCTATCTGACAATGGCAAACGGGGACAAGATGATCTTAAACAGTTAAAAGAAATGTACTCTACAATGCCTGTTGCTTTAAAAATTGCAGTATTTTAACTTTCAACTCTAGATTGGTTCTCGTGCTGTTCGAAGATGCCTATAAAGGTTAAAAGATATTAAAAAATATTGTTCTAAATAAAATAAATTCATTGATGTTTAAAGTAACACTTCTTTTGAATAATATTTGAAAAAGATGACTTCAAGAATGCACCAGAATTCACCAAATGGTACTCATTTATAAAAAAAAAAAAGAATCTGGTTAAGAAAGGAGATGATGCTACATTTACAATAAATGTGCAACACCTGAAATTTCATACTCACAAATCTTATAGAGTTAAAGGAGGCACATACTCTCTCAGTATTGTAACTGTCACTATTACATGTATTGGTGTAAGAATAGAAAGAATCGATACAGTCTATCGATTGGTGATTATAAATTATTAAAATTCGGAGGATGTAAAAGATGCGACGACCACCTACAGATTCAACCCTGTATACTGACTGAGATGTGACTGCTCTTCTAATGATACTCTAATGAAACTGTGTTTACAAGATTTTTAACAGTGAAATATTATACCGTATAATAGGAAATTTTAGCGAGACGCAAATTTAGCGATTTATCCTTAAAAATTGGTATATATTTTTTAGCGAGATGTAATTTTAGCGATTTTTTAAATGCTCATTAACGAAGCTCTGCAAACAACATGGAATTAATTGTTAGCGACATTCAATTTTAGCGATCTCAGCACCCTCGCTAATAATGCCAAAATTGAATCCTCGCTAAAAATTCTGCTTATAAGGAAATCTGTCCGTTGAGTAAAAGGAATACGTTCAGAAAGTTATTCTCACAGTTCTCACAAGAACAGATCTGCGGGGAAAACTGTTTTTGCTCTGCTTTTCACTATTGAAAAGAAAAAAAAATCCTCTCTCACCCGCAGAGAAATCCAAAACCATCTAAAAATGAATATGAATATCCTCTATGTACATGCATTCATTTGAAACGTGTTAATTGTGAATTTACTTGATAATATTTCTGTTTTGTTTCAGGTTGTGTAGAAGAAAATTTAGATGGATGTGCTTGTGCAAATATGACAGCGGATGGAAAGGATTTAGGTAGTAATTCTTTATCCACTAATCTCTCCAATTTGGTAAAGGGATTTTCATCTGTCCATCCTTTGTCTTTTGCCTTCCTTTTGTACCTTTTCGGTTGATGCATTTTAGGGAAGTCTATTCAGGCTCCTTTACAGTAAAATATTACAGATCTCTAGGGAGAACATTCCATTAATACAAAATAAGGAACGCTACTCTGAGCTCTCCAACAGTAACACAATATGAAGACCTCAACCCGGAACTCTCCAAGTGTGTTTATCTCAAAACAAAACACAAATATTTGTTATAGATATTTCTTCGTAGACCATGTGGTATAAAGTATTTTATACGTTCAAAAATAAATCAGGTTATTTTTCTCAGATAGTGGTAATGTTAATACTTCCAAATTGCAAAAATAATGGCCCAATTGCGAAATACATCAATATCACTGTGTTAATCCTTAATTTTCTGCAAATAAAACGTCGTGTTTTTATGTCTCGGCAAAACTATTGTTATGTGTGTCACTTGCCGTGGAGAAATTCAAGATTGCCATTTTTTGTTATTTTACTGATCAACCTACACACTACAATTAAAACTGATGTGATATATACGAATTTCAAGTTCAGTTACTAAACTCAGGTTCACTATAGTTGTATGATTTTTTTACAAGCCAAGATAGAAGCTTTGTCATAAAACATGCACATTTTTATTAAATGTAACTCCTTTCTGGTAATTGATAAACTAACTACTTGCATGAATTTCTAGAATCTTGATTTGGAAGTCATTGCAAATCCGAAAAAGACGAAAATAATTATTTACAGATCATTGCTGAGCACATACAATATAATTTCTGTCGAATATATATTGATATACATGTACTTCTTAAATATTTTACATTACATAATGTGACTTTGTATTTGTTACAGATCTTTGGGAATTCACACCGGTTTTCAGTACAAAGTCCATCGCTCTTAGATGCAATGACAACTTCCTGTCCATAATGAATATGTCGCAGTTTGATAGCTCCCAATTTATTTCAGTACTATCTCGTTGTGATGGTACAAAACAATGTTCCTTCAATTCTAGTTTATCCCTGAAGGATAAAACCTTCAGCTTCATGTGCTCTGGTAGGTGTCTAAATACTTTTCTTGATTTACTTAATTTTATCTTTATTTGGCCTTCAATGAAGGCTGACTATCTTTGAGCCGTCAGCTTAAATAATGACAGGGCTCTGTGGTCTATTCTTGAAATAATGGAATATTTATTGATTGATTGTATTCTGTTTTTTCACTCATATAAAGACGTCACCATATAACGGTGAAGGGCTTCAAATTTAGACCTTACGGCCATTGAGCAGTGAGGGTTCTTTGCCGTGTCAACGCCTACCGTGACACGGGACCTCAGTTTTAAGGTCTCATGCCAAGGACTGAAATAATGGATTAAATAATGGATAAAAGTTTCATTTGGAACATAATTCAACTATTAAAATACATCTTATTTACGCTGAAGTAACTGTATGTTATAAAAATAATCATTCACTTGCAACAGCCATGGTCATAGTACTTTTAAACTATTTTGTTTCATTTTATACACCATAATCAATAATGGAGATATATTTTTTTTAAATATTTGATTTACATGTGTATTTACCCTAGAAGAATATTACGTAACTGTAGAAAGTGTACAAGACAATGCATTTTTCTTCATAACAAAGAACCATTTCAATAAAACATTTTTTACAGATAAATGCATTAATGAAAACTACACGAACGCTATTCTAAAGCACAATCTGGTACAGAATTTACAATATGAAAGTGACGACAGAGATTCGTTCACTGCTCTCCTAAAATCACGAGTGTTTGAGTGTGAGGAGCGACACGTGTTGACCAAAGGGAATCTCACAATTCAGTGTGAAAGAGAGGGGAGATGGTCCGAAGAAGCTCCTGTTTGCAATGGTATTATTAATCATGTACAACACATATAAAAAAATTGCATTTGAAACTTTTGTTCTTTCGAGGTACGATTTAATACCATGGAGAAAATACTAGTATAGGGCTTTAATAAAAGTATGTAAAAGGTTTTTTTTTTTCATGCTCGACAGTCACCTGTCAGGAACCTTTTCATGAAAACATTACTACAATCCGTGACACAAGTCCATATCCAGTATATTTTGAGGACTACAATGTGTCATACTCGTGTCGGCAAAACCATCGTCACGTTGGTGGCAATCTCAGTCGAGTTTGTAACGGAAGTGGCGATTGGTCAGGAGAGGAGCCTATCTGCAAACGTAAGTTATTGAAACAACTCAAATGTACATTGTATAAATCTTTGCTTTAAAAGGTATAAATGTTTTGAAGAGCATGACTTTTTACTGCATTTAGGCTGCAAGTGTCCCTGTAATCGAGTAAGATCCCAAAATTTCATTAAGGATCCAGAAGTTCTTAAGAAAAGACTGAACGAAATGAAGAAAGAATTAGAAGTCAATCAAAATGAGCTCTCTGCAACAGTTAGAGCGAAAACGTCTGCAAAAGACGAAAGAAAGTCTGCAAAGGGAATGGGATCTGTTCTAGGGGTGGGGATTATTAGTTTTGTGTTGATGACTCTCGTGTGCAGCGATCTTCCATTGCTCTACAGGCAGATCCGGTATGGGCCTTTGACAACGCTTCTCCTTTAAGAAGCTAAATTCTGTTAGTTATATTTACACTATTGTGGAAAAATGAGCTTGAATGTGAATGGAAGACATTCTTTAATTATCGTTTCATATCACTGAAATAAAAATAAAAATTAACTTTACTAACATCACAGCAATACGAAAATCACATAGAATTGAGCAAAAGGATAAAAGATTATCAATATCACTGGGCTTAACATTAACATTTGTCCGATTGTCTATGTCTCTTTCACTTTTTGATCGGACAAATCAATCTACACAAACACTTGTACGATCGGACAAGTAAATCTTTTTTTCATATAATATACAGATTTAAAGTAACAATTATTTGATAAATAACTTTTCAATCTTAAAGGCTAAGTCATACCTCACCAAATATTGCTAATGAATGGAAGAGCTATATCAGTACTATTTCTTTTTTCATGGTTAGTCATATCTTCATTTGGCAGTATTTCTATAGTATTTTTAGTTTTTGGTTTTTTTTTTTTTTGGCTAGCTCGGCCTTAATGAAGTTCAACAATTTTATTTATATCTGTTCAAGAAAAGGACAAATGAAAATGCCTTCAGAAAGGTATTACATTCGTTGACAACTTGTCCAATGGTCAAATGGATTTTGAAGCCTGTATCATAGTCCGATGGACATTAATACACTGAAGGAAAATGCTCGTATCGCAAGATGGAGGCTTTGAAATTAGGCAAGGAGTAAATTCAATTAAATCAACATAGATTTGAACATTATTAACGTCGACAATATTTCTTCCCAAACTGATCTAATTACGCATCAACGAATTTAACAACGTCTTTCGGGAAGTTGTCAACCCATTTTTTGTGTGCAAGAACCATGATCTTAATTACTGAATGAAAAAAAGGGGGCCTAGGACAGGTATAGAATCGATGTCTTTCTGTAAGTGATAAACCTTGGTTTGGTAAGAACCTTACATCTTCGTATAAAGAGTACATTGCAAAATGATCTTAGTTCAATCTTTGAGGAAGTAATGCCAATCATGGGAAATAACTGTAGATCACTTAATTTTTGCGACACTTTTTAAGCGAGATTGTTGTTTGGAATTTATAAGCTGAACAAAATTTTCACGAATTTTTGCTTTTGCTCTATATAATCTTTAATAGCTTTTTATTCGCGAGCAGACTCTCTCGTGTTATTGGCCCAAAATAAAGCTCTCGGAATAAAAAAGAATTTAGTAGGTTTGTAAAAAGCGTATTCACAGGCCTTCTGAAGATATGTGTACAAAGTTATATTTGTTACATGAATCTCAAGGATTAAAGGTTTTAAACGATAATTCTTTGCAAGATTTCAACAAAAACTAACTTGAAATCAATTATTTAACATTTTTATTCAAATTTACAAAGAAAATTGGACTTAAATGATGAAAGTTTTGTTGATGTATATGAATATACTAGCATTTTTGAATGCTGGACAAAGACATTGGTTTTAATATCAAAATTGATAATAAGAATTTTTAAAGAATGAATTCTCATTGAGAAAATTATTTACTCAATGAATATTTAATGGCGATTGGAATTTTTTTTCTGTCTATTATAAATGAATTTTTTTAATTGTATCTTGCATAGATATATTTTTCTGTGATGGTGATTAAAGATTTCTGTATTTTGCCTGTATTTTTTTTAAAAGGAGATAATCATGTAATCTGATCCTTACACTTATAGATGTTTAAGTCCTGTTATTAATTTATGTAAACCTTTTACCTCTGCCCTAAATAAAAAGCAGATAGACTTATCTTATCAAAGTCAGATTTAATAATTAAAGTTGCTTCTGATTAACAAGTTGGTTTTAAATCAAATTGTGGGACTAGTGATGTAAGATTGGTAATATTGGTTAAACTTTAATCAAAACCTCATTTAGAAAGAACAAAAGACTTCATTGAGCTGTTAGTGTTTTTAAAAATAAGCTCTCGACTCTTTTGATAGATCTAATGTTTGGTTGAAATTCTCCAACATTGGAATTTTTGAGTGCTAAAAGGATTATAAATAAGGTTAAAGCATGCGTAATAACGAAAATTATTGAGTGATATTTTAGTAGTATTCTTGGTTGAATGCAAGTTGAAGTACTTTCATCCATTTTTGTACAACTTTTAATTGAATGATTTTGAAACAAATGAATTTATTTTCTAATGCTAGTTAGGTACTGTTTGAAATCTCGTCAAGAAATCTTTTTGCTTCTAAAATGTTCTCAGATGACATTGTACTTCTTTCTAAAACAGTTCCTGTTGAATGAAGTAAAACAGCACTATGGAATGTGGAAACTACATATCAATGTTGAGAAATCGAAGATCATTATTTTTAGAAAAAGGGGAATGGTTAACTTGGTTAAATTTACGTGGGCATTATTGTTATTAATAATAAAAAAAATTCTCGATTTAGATAGGAAAGCTTTATTTGAATAAAAAAAAAGAACATTAAAACTATGTACTTTAACCATGAAACATTCTGTCTCTATTTGATTGTTTTGTTGGCAATATTGTAAACTATGCATTTAAACTTAAACTACCTAATATTAGCAACAATAAAATGCAAACATATTTTTAGGGGTAAAAGGTCAGCAGTTAATGCTTGATAAAAAAAAAACTGTTGAAAAATATCTTCTGACTATAATGCATGTAATTGTATTATTCAACATTGCTATAATGTTTTGTATGAGAATTTTGAAAGATATAACGTGGAAAAATGGATGTCACATGTTATAAGTCAAGCAACGAATTTCTGACCAAGCAAGATAGTAAACTGTATCTTAATTGGATAGTTCTAGAACATGCTCTTTTTTAAAATATTAAATCAGAACTCATAATTTGCAATTTTATAAATTACAGTTTTATGTATTGAAAAACATATAAGCAAAATACCAAAAAATTTATTACTATAATGAAACTGTCGCCGTACCAAATAGCAATAGCAACGGGTCGATATTATAACATGAAGAGACCATTTTTCCATTTTTTGTCGAAGATGAGTATCTTTTTACCTTGGGTAGAATTGTCTGCATTTTAAATTTTTCGCACAATATATATATATATATATATATATATATATATATATATATATATATATATATATATATATATATATATATATATATATATATATATATACCTTTAACATGTAAAATGTTGCAGTTGTTTAATGCTGAAAATGTGAAAGAAATATGCAATGAAGGTATATTTACCTAATTTAGCATGAAAACTAGAAAAAAAAAATATGGAAAATTTAGAATGTACTGTATATATTTGCACACTGTTAGTACATTCTTCTGTCAACCCACCTGTACATGTGTACGTTCTGTATTTATTTGTACTGTTCTGAGTTAATAAAGAAACATAGGTACTTGTATCAGTACATCAGAAGGCTGGAGTCAGGTTCCTTTAAAATCAGACGAATGTTAATATCAGATTAAGAGTAATGCATTCAGAAATTAAAAATTTGTGATTGAAAAATATGTGTCTAAAGTCATGTCAAACTCAAAAAAGCAATGGATACTTTTTACAAACAAATATTATGAACTACATGTAAATTATGTTTTCTTTCGTTTCTGCCATTCTATCATTGAACATGACAATCAGTGCAATGCTCGTAATAATCAAATACAACAAATACAGATGCAATTTAGACCAAATTTTTAATGCAATAATTTTACGAATTTTACCAAAACGTTCAAAACAATACCCTTTTTTGTGAAATCGTGAAAGATATTTGGAATTCATTTATGATCAATAATATTGAAATTTGATTTGAAAAATAGCAAATGTTCTTGTAAACATATTATATTGGAGGTTTAATAGGAATGAAATTCAACAGTAAATTATTTTTAAAATACTATTTTATCTTACTCAGCATTCACATTTATAAATTTAAAATATCATGTAGATGGAGAATTGAACATTAAGGCTGATGTGTCCTTAGATGTAAAATTTTAATGCTCTAGTGATATTTATTTATTCATGACATTTTGTTAAAATAGGATAAATAGATTGAACACTTTTGGGGCTCTTATTTTTTACAACTTAATAAAATATAATTTTGTAAATGTCTAAAATTAAACATTTTTGTGTAAAGGATGTTCTTTAGCACTGTTTACTCAAAGATATATTTCGTAAATTATACATATAAAAAGTGCGATTGTGAGTAAAGTATATTGAGCCATCAAATTAACACAAAAGGACAAGCTAACACGAGAAACTAAGTCCCCTTTTAGGTCTTTGAGTTTTTTTGTCTATAAGAACGATGCAATAGTTCATCTTTAAAGATCTGTCGTCATCCCTGTTACAAAGTGAGTATTGATTCAAACAAATGGGATGTACAACGGTCACAGGAAGGTAACAAAATCGGACAAATTCCAAATGTTCTCATTTTTATACAAATTATCATCAATTTAAAGTACATTTTGTTTCGGAAAACACAGACCTGAAGCTTGCTGGAAGCTTGCCTCTCTACCAAGTTGAAATATCCCATGCACTAGTATCAAATGCATCTTGAGTATAAAAATCTCAGATAGGCAAGCTTGTGCTCTGTTTTTCCGAAAATGAAAAGTTTCTCAAACTTGTCAAAATTCCAACAAAATTTAGAAAATTTGGGTAAATATCCTACCTAGCAGTTTCTTATGGCGTCTGTGTACGCTTTGAATCAAATTTAGAGCTGGTTTTAAAACGAGCATTGTTCATTGTTTAAAGTTAAAACTGCAAATTAAAATAATTTTAACTGTGTTTTGATTTTTTTTTTTTATAAAATAAGGGGCCAAATTTTGGGCGTTACCTTACCTTTTTATCTATTGACTACATCACTTTAATTTATAAAACGAATCATGACAATGAGCCCACGGCGGGTGTGACAGGTCGACAGGGGATTGTTACTCTTTCTTGCCACCTGATCCCACCTCTGATGTTTTTTGAGGTTCGTGTTTGCTCTGCTCCGAATTGGTATTGTTTCAATGGACGTTTGAGCCTGATTATGGTTCGTTATCTTCGTATTTCATTTCACTATATTTGTTATCTTCACTATTTTCTTGTTAATATCCAGAATTGAAAATTACTTTTCCTACATGGTAAAGGATATCTGACAGACGCCCCTTTACTAACCTCTGCATACATGTGCGTTATGAAAAAAAATGGCAAGATTTAGAGTTTTCACTTTCATCAATAAGGAAAATTGGCATATGCCTGTAATATGTCGCTTCCACCTATGTGTAGTTGTTTTGTTTGTTTGTATGTTGTTTAACGTCCCTCTCGAGAATTTTTCACTTATATAGAGACGCCACCACTTGCCGGTGGAGAGCTGCAAATTTTGTCCTATGCTCAGCACTTACGGACATTGAGCAGTGAGGGATCTTTATCATGCCAGCACCTGCTGAGACACGGGACC